TTTTTTCTTATTGATTAGTATTTGTATGACTTACTCTATTGAAAAGTATATTAAAAATAAAACATTTTTATTTTCTCATTTGATATAAATTGTAGATATATTTGGAAATTTGTATGACGTTTTCAAGCTGTGTGAAACTTCAATCTATGTTTAGGTGAGGAGTTGTCGAATATAGCAGATTATTTTTTTTTTGTATTTCATGATACAGTACGGTAAACTACAAAGATTCTATGTGCGTTTGTTTCTAATCCAGATTATCTTGGACGGCTTACATTCCTAACGTTTTTCTCGGCCAATCTTCCACTTCTCGTGCCGCGCAGGGTCCACTATCCAAACACCGAAACCTCGCGCTGGTCCCCGCGCCCCCATTGGCCGCGCCCGCGCGAGCCGGCGACGCCGGAGAGCCGGGAGCCAATGGGCGCGCGGCTCGTGAGCCCGTCAGCGAGCACGGCTCGGACTCCGTTGCTCTTTTGAGAACCTGCACAGCGCTTTGCCCGCCGCCCCGAGCCGCACACCTAGCGCTGGGGTCCCGGTGTCCACAATCACGAGTGAGGGGCAAGGGGCGGGGGCGTTGGACAGTAGAAGGCGGCTCGCGAAAGGGGACCCAAGGGGAAGAGGAGCAGTCACGATTTGCTCGTTTTCTTGAGCAGTCCACGGAGGGCGGGCAGAGGGCGCGAAGGGAGAGGGGTCCGGCCGACTCACCTGGCGTCTCCATCGCCGCTGCTCCCGGCCGCCGCAGACGCGCGCTCCACTAGTCCGAGGGCGCCCACGGCAGAGGCAGGGGCTCCCCGAGGGAACCCCGGGGGAAGTGTGCGGCGCTCCGAGCCGGAGCTCTGGAGGGGTTGGACGAGCGTGCGGGCTGGGAACTCAGATTTCTCCCCCTAGGAGCCGGTGCGCTCGGGCGGCCGAGCACTGCGGGAAATGAAGTGTGTATGGGGGTGGGGGGGCGTGGGTCAAAACCCGGGACCCAACCTCGCCTCCCAGCAGAGCCGGTGTTGGAAGAAAGACGTGGTCGAACACTTTCTCCCGAACGGGGGACAGCGTGCCCGAGGCGTTCTCGGGCGACGTCTGGCGGGCGCTGGCCCCGAGCTGGGACTGCCGTGGGCCGCCTGTGCCCCCGCCGCGCCGCGCCTCCCCCCTTCGGCCGGCCGCGAGTGTGGGAAGGAAACAGTCACCGCGGATCCGCTGGGGACCCGGAGCGTGACTGTGACGCCTCGGCGGAGGGTATCAACTTGCATTATTTTCTCTAGGACGTCTCCAACCTGTCTCTTGTTGAATGTCAGAGTAATGGGAAGTGCCAGTGACAAGACGGCGTATTACTCCTGATTAAGTGCCGTGTCAACCTAATTAGCAGAGTAATTATAAGGTGCTAATGAATGATTCAAAGTTCTTTGAGTTACATTTTACTCCAAATTACCATTTTAAGAACCCAATGAATCTGCGTGGCTGCCATCTCTTCCGTGACTAGATGCGGAATGGTTTTTAGAAAATGGCCTTTAATGCCTCCCAGGGCTGGGCCCAAAGCTGGGGTTTCTTGCGATCGTTTTCTGGGGACAGCTTTCTTTCAGAGGGGACGTGGGAGGGGTGTCCGTCCGGGAGGTCGCAGAGTAGGCGCTGTCTTTCGGTGGGAACCGCGTGGGCGCGCGCCCCGAGTCTGGAGGGGTACTTGGGACACCCGTCCTCCCTCGGTTTTCCTCTGGAAATGAAGGTGTCCCCCCCCACCCCCAGAAAGAGTCCACGCCGCTTCGGGGGGGTGTTGAGCCGTTTCGTGATTCTCTTCGCTCCGTGCTTCGCTGGGCTGTCTCGGAGGAGAACAGCGGGGAGAGGAGGGACGGAGGCGAGGAGAAGTACAATCGGACAGCTCTCGCTTTTCTCGGAAGGCCTGGGCAGTTTGGCGGCGAGGCCCGGGTCGGTGAGCCGAGGCGGGGACGCGGGAGATGCTCCGATCTTAGTCCGAGGGCATACGGGAAGCCCCCTCGGGAACGCGGGGCCGGGTCTCGCCGGGTGAGGTCGGGCCACTCTGGGCCAGGGCGCCTCCGAGGGCCTGGCCCACTGCCGGAGCGGGGTTGATCCGCCGCCTTTGGCGCGGGAACTGCGTATTGGCCAGGTAGACAGACCCTCTGGAAAGCTTGCAAGGCCCGGCCGAGGCCGTGGACCTGGGGGTTGAGGGTCCCCGGGCCGGAGACATGGGCTACGTCTCCCAGGCCGCTTTGAGGCCCGGCGCAGCACGCCTCGGCCCCCCGCGCCTCTGGCGACACGGCGGGCAGGGCAGGAAGGGTGCTGGGGCGGCCCTCTTCTTCCCTCTTTCAGACATCGATTAGGGGTCTTCCCGTTCTGACATCACCCACCAACTTCCTGAATGAAGTGCCTTGTCTCCTAGCCCTGGGGGCGCCAACTCGGGCTCCCCTCGATGCGTATTCAGGGTGGGAGGGCGAGACGGGAGAAAATGTAAAATCCAGAAGTGACGGCACCGCACAAATCAATTATTTCTCGACCTTGATAAATAATTCATTTACGCCTGTTTTTGTTTTGTTCCGACGCCTAAAATGACTCAGGAGCTCAAAAGGCTGATCACACAGATTGTGTTGGGCGGTTCGACAGGTTTTTTGTTTGTTTGTTTGTTTGTGTTTGTTTTTTGACTTGGAATAATTCACAACATTGGCAGGGGAGGCGATGGAAATATGACCCTAGGGGTAAAAAATGAAATCTGAAAAGAAAGGGGGAGAGGAAGGTCGAAGTGATGGGGAGAGGGGAGTGCATGTTTCGTGAGAACTCTAAAGCAAACAGGCAGGCTGCAGGTCCCACCTTTGAATGCCTCAAATCATAGTTTCTTAATGAAAGGTCAGCTTCACGGAGGATCTCTATGGGTGTTAGGAGATGGGCTTTCCAGAACCACCACGATGAGGGGAATACATGACCTTGACCTCTTTGGGAATCTACTATACTGCATTGAGTCCCAGAGGGGAAATGCTAGTTGTCCCCCGAAAAATCAATAGAGGACTCAAAGACCAGATCACAAAGTTCGTGTAACACAGATTCTTCAGAGAAGGGTTTTGTTTAACTTTCTCCTTTCTTTTCTCTCCAGACACATTACTCTTTTGCCTTTATTTCTCCCTTCCCCCTGGATGTATACAAATGCAAGAAGTCATGCATCTCCTGGCAGACTAAGCAGAATTCACTATTAAAAAAAAGATTTATTTATTTGAAAGGCAGAGTTACAGAGAAGCAGAGGCAGAGAGAGAGAGAGGTCTTCCATCCTCTGGTTCATTCCCTAACTGGCCATAATGGCCAGAGCTGGGCCGATCTGAAGCCAGGAGCCAGGAGCCAGGAGCCAGGAGCCAGGAGCTTCTTCCTGGTTTCCCACGAAGTTGCAGGGGCCCAAGGCCTTGGGCCATCTTCCACTTATTTCCCAGGCCATAGCAGAGAGCTGGACTAGAAGAGGAGCAGGTGGAACTCAAAAGGGCACCCATATGGGATGCCAGCACTGCAGGTAGCGGCTTTACCTGCTATGCCACAGCCAGCCCCCACCATTCATTTTTTAAAAATCAGATTTCAATACTGATGAACCACATTTTAATTATTTAACACAAATAAATATAGTCCCTAAACTGATGTAAGCTTAAAAATGATCTCCGATGTTCACTTAAATTTAAAGAAAGGAAGAAACTTCTTTAAATTTTGGAAGATTTTAAAATTTTTGTCCAGAAGGTAGTTGTTTGCCAACTGTGGATAACTGAGAACAAGCTTTTCCTTCCCAGCTCTGACAGACATTACAGTGCCTTTTTGAAAGATGCTCTTTTCCCACTGCAGAGAATACTTGAAACCCTTGCATATTTTTAAAGTTGGATGCCTTCCCACACCTTCCATAGGCCACTTGCACTATCTAGACGTGGTGTTTGAGATTGCATTTAAACTAGAGCATCAGATTTTTTTAAATGGAATTTAACTTTGAAGAAATTAACTCAAAAGGTTATGATGAACTTGGAGCTGGTCCTAATTGGCACGCTTCTGTGGGTCCACAGGATGACAATGCCAACTGACGGAAATGAGGTGCAAAGGCGTTTCCTTCCACTGGGCGGCGCCAAGAGCCCCGGACCAGGGAGCCGGCTATTGTTTCTAGAAAAGATGCAAGATACACAAATAAGCTTTCCACCGTCTAAGGCTGACTCCCTGACGACCTCTCGCCATTTCAAAGCTGCAGAAACATCAGAAATTGTCTTCCCTTTTTTCTCCTCAATTCATCGATATATTTCCAACTGCCTAAGGACTTGATGTAGACTTGTTTAGAAAAACAACATATTAAAGAGAAAGACATGAAACCCTGATATAGTGTTCCTTAAATAGACTGCAAGCGGGAGAGAAGCGATTGGGAGCAGAGGGAGAGACGTGAAATGGAAGAAAACAAGGTAACTGAAGGCTATGTTAACAAGAAGGACTTAAAATGATCATCTGGGTAATTACTAATTGATCTAGGGGAGTGAAATTTTTGCAAGAGCTATAGCTTGGCCAAAGCATTAACGATGAGCAGTTTAGAAGGGATGTGGTGATGCTGGCTCTCCCTGGGAGTAAGACGTGTGTTGTGCAGGGGCAGTCAGCGGGAGGACAACCACAGGGTTAGGGGAAAGGGCTGGAGGAGACACTGTTAATCCCGTTTTGCCAGTTTCCTAGTGTTCTTGATCAAGATTCTTAACTTTTTTGATTACTAAGCTGCTTCCCTGTTCAAGAAAATGGGGTGGGGGCCGGCGCTGTGGCGTAGCAGGGGAAGCTGCCGCCTGCAGAGCTGGCATCTCATATGGGTGCCGGTTTGAGTCCCGGTCGCTCCATTCCTATCCAGCTCTCTGCTAATGTGCCTGGAGAGCAGTGGAGGATGGCCCAGGTCCTTGGGCCCCTATGGGAGACCTGGAAGAAGCTCCTGGTTCCTGGCTTCGGATTGGTGAAGCTGCAGCCATTGCAGCCATCTGGGGAGTGAACCAGTGGATGGAAGACCGATCTCTCTCTCTCTCTCTCTCTCTCTCTCTCTGCTTCTCATTCTCTCTATGTAACTCCGACTTTAAAATAAAAGAAACAAATCTTAAAAAAGAAAGGAAAGAAAATGGGGTGTTTGTTATGACCAAATAAGATCTTCTTTGTGAACATTGGTTACAAAAATGTGAAGCAAAACTTGAACCAATGCCCCATGCAAAGGTGGTGATTGTTTCTAGCTCTGGGCAACACCAGTAGCCATAGTTTTTTCACCTTTGCCTTCCCTGTTACTTTTGTTCACGGCTGAGGCAATAAATATTATTGCATGTGTGTTCAGTGCTAGGTGCCTGAGCGTGGGACACTAACCAGCTTCAGCAAGTGGAAAACAGTCTTAAATGCCACATTGCACATCTAAACGTGCAGAGTTTGGGAAACAGAAAGGCTTCCTAGAGGAAAGGACCTGTGTTCAGTCACAAAAGGAAAGGGACACATCCCAAGTAGTGGGATATGGAGGCACTTTTGTGGTAGGTAGCTAAGGGTGACAGTGGGGCAGAGAGGTCCACAGATGGCCTGAACTTCTAATCTCCTGACTGTAGAGCTGTAGGCTTTGGGGCTATCTCAGAAGAGAGAAAATACTCTCAGAACACCTGAAGGGAAAGGGAACTAACCGCCCACGTGCCCAGACCTGGGCAGCAGAACGTACAGCCGGTTACACAAGGGGCAGATTGGGCCTGTCAAGGGGGCAAACCAGGAGCCCTATCCCTACCTCCCCAGCCTCACTCCTGCTCCTCATTTTCCTTCTAGACTTGCAAACCCTGGACCGCTTGCGACCTCAGCAGTCCCGGAAAGAGGTGACTCGTGGATGCTGTTGGAGTGGAAGGAGAGCCTGGGGCTGAATCTCTCTTCCCTCTCCCTAAGTGGGGGCCGTCGTCCACCGAAGGCCAGCTTCTGAGGAAATTAAAGAGTCCCGAGTGACACAGCCACGTCACGGGGAGCCCAGGAGCCTCTAGGGCCTCGGGAAGGAAGCTGATCCATCCGCTCCCGAGATTAGCAGGAAGTGGAGGGGCCGAGGCAGGAGAGGAGCGAAAGCCTCAGAGCGCTGAGCGAAGATGCCAATCAGAGAGAGGGAAATTCATTTGCGATGTTAATTAACAAGCGGCTAATTAAA